GATTTCTGGGTTAGGTAGTACACTTTGACGTTTTTCTTTTTTCTGACGTCTCGCATTATGAATCGATGAGCTTAAAAAAGAGACAGTGATAAATCGCAAAAGGCGTCTCGCTGGTTCGAAATATAGAGAGAACATTGTTGATATGATTAAATAGAGGATAAACAGTTAGGTGTGCCACGAGGTGTGCAGTGGATATGCTCACATACTCAATTCCTCTCAATGGGATTTTTTACATACTTATGTACGTGTAAGTAAAGAAACATATTTTTCAACCGTTAGAAAGTCTTTTGAAGAAGATCGCACTGTTTTTGTTACACAGAACTCCTAAAAAGAGACTTCATGAATCAAAAAAGTAAGAGGGAAATATATTCATAGTTTTATCTGTCTGGTTTATCCGAACGGTACGTTCGTTCAGTCCGACGAACACAATAGAAAAGTTGTTTGTGGTGATACAAGATGGCACAGTGTACCGCCTCTACCATTCTGTTTTAACAATTTATATACGATACTGTTTGTATTTTGGATTAGTTTTAATTCAAAATAGTCACATATCATTGTCATATCAACAAGTAAGGATGATGTTGAAGTAGGGCCTTGATATTTAAGTTTCAGTTGAAGAACACTTTTTTCTGAATTACCATGATGACATATATAGTATGAACATTCATCTTCCATTACCAGATGACAGATGAATATTTTATTGCTCTTACAGACATTCAAAGGTTTGACGTTGACGATCGATAGATTAAAAATAGATGGAAATGGTAAACTTTCCACATTTTCACTGACTGTTGGTAATACTTTCACAATGTTCTTCGTCTTTAGAACTTGTTGACTGGCATTGAAAATTTGTTTTTCATTGAAATAACATTGATTTCCATCGTTCTGTCCACACCATTTTAATACCCTAACATCACACTTTGATTGGTCAGTATTGTTCCACAGTAAATCTCGTATCGTCAAGTAACCACCAACAGTAATAGTTTGATTAACTGTTAAAAAATTTACATGATAAAACAGATACTGTTCTTGAACAGATATGAGAATTTTTTGCTGCAGCTCACAGGGACTTTGGACAGCAACTCTATTGAGCCTCTCAGTTTGAAGCTTCTTTGTAATCATCCAAACGCACAGCCTTGGTGCGTTTAAAAGAGTAGATTGTAATAGCCTTCTGCTACATTGACCGTTTATTGTTGTCTGATATAATACGATATGAAGAAGATAAACCAGAAAGAAATGTTTATGATCCATATTACTTTTATGAAAGATTGTGGAATATGTATGTATTAACTATAAAAAAAATAAAAGGTTTTTATTAAGTTTTAAAAGAGAGAGAGAGAGAGAGAGAGAGAAAGAGGAACTGAAAAGTTTTTTTTTTATTTGCTTGCAAGATCGAACTATGTCAAAAATATTTCACCTTTCCTTTCAGAGACAAACAAGTAAAGAAGGGAAGTAAAGAAAGGTAAAACATGATATTAATAAAAACGACAACATCGCAGTATTCATTGCCATCATTATTTCGCTACAATGTGCTTGCAATTTTAATTATTGTCTCATATTTATGATCAACTATCGTTTGGTCTTTGTATGTCACAGAATACTGTCATTTTCTTTGCGTTTCCACTTTAAAGACATGTCCGTTGAAGGTTGCCTAAATAATTCCTGTTCAAATCATGGAGAATGTACTATTGGAGCAAACAGTTCACTATTGTGTCGCTGTGCACCTTGTTTTATGGGTGAAAAATGTGCACAACCATCGAGTTTATTCTTCTACACTTATGGACAAGTAATGTTGCTAACTGTTCAAACGTCAAACTCATCTATTAATTATTCTATTTTATATCCACTTGTTACTCTTCTAATGGTTACATTTGGCCTCTTCAATAATATAGTTGCTTTACAAACATTTTTTTGTAAATCTATAAAAAAGAACTATACTGGGGTTTATCTACTCACATTTACACTATGTAGCTGTTATGTGATCATTTTTTTCGACTTAAATATTTTATTCGCACTGTATCTATCTGATAAAACGAAAAAAACTTATCTCTATCAGTATATTTTCAACTGTTATATTATGTGGAATCTCGATGTCATCTTTCGGTCAATTACAATGTGGTGCTCGTCAATTTTAGCAGTTGAACGAACACTGATGGACCTAATGTTTTTCAAATTATTTGGCAAGTCTGTAAAATATTCCATTATAATTGTAACATTTATCATTATTTTTGTTCCTCTATCAATTGTTCCAAACATCATATCAACCACTATAGTCGATGTTATGCCTTCGAATTCAACTCAGTCGTATAGTTGTGTAATTAATAGAACTCCGACTTTATACCGTTCAAATTTAGTTTTTGGTTGGATGAATCGAGTTGGCTCCTGTTTTCTTCATTTCCTTGCTAATATTCTTATTTTTATAAGTATGACACGTAGAAAAATCTATCTCAGTCAAGATTGTCAACCGAAACTTACGTTTCGACAAACATTCGTACAGCAAGTATCTCTACATTATGAATATTTGATTCCACCTTTGACTATGTTCATTTCTCAATTTTCGACACTGGTGTTCTTACAAGTACAAACATCGAAAAAGTGTGTAGAAGCAAAAGTCAGTCCCGTATCACATTTGTATATATTCTTTAATTTTGTTCAATATTTTCCTCAACATGCAACTTTTTTCATATTTATATTATCCTCAAAAAAAATCATGAAAGTCTTTTGGAAAGAATCTCAAATTGGAAGATGGATGCAACAGTTAAAGAAAGAAAAGATACAAACATCTTCAGTCGCTCAGAGTGCGAAGTGACAGTTGATCGATACATCTCAGTTGTGTGATGCTTTCTTTTTTGTATTTATATTACACTCTATCGTTTAAAGATAAAAACGAAGAAAAGAATTAGAGGTGTCTCAGAAAGGACGAGGACGAATAAGAAGCCAACTTGGGTCATAAATCTTTTTCAATTAGTTGGTAGCATGTCAGATGTAAAGAAACCAAAGGCAAATCTATTGGCGAAAAAATCAAGTCTCTTTTTTAGATTTCAAATCATTTGATACTTTTTATATTAAAAGTTTCATTACCTTCCATAGACGGCGGAACGTTTGGAATCTAGGGTAGACGCAACACTTTTTGATAAGACCCTTATCAACAGGTTAAATATGGAGAGGGTAATTTTTTCTGCTATACTATTCAAATAAAACACAATTAATACTGCTTTTTTCCAACTCAAATTTTTTTTAATTCTTAGTATTAGTTCTGATCAAAGATGAGTTTACAACTTATGGCAAAAAAAAGCTTGTATTCAAATAGCCACTTAAACTTTTGTCTTGATTGAATAATGACCTTCAGATATAATCCATCGGTTGCAAAATTTTTGAATCCGAATCCGGAACGGGAGTCTTCATGCTCTCAATATAATTCTTTTACTCCTAATTTGACAATTATTTCGAAGATACTACATTGTTTTTTTGATTAAGTTTTCGATGGCTACATTGTGGGTGTGGATGTGCATGTGTATGTATTCTTCTCATTCTATACCCACTCCACATCCTAGTTTGTATTTTTGTAAATATATCTACTCACTTCTCGCTTCTATATTTTTCTTCAGCTTGAAAGAAGTAGATCATTATTTTTGACATTGTATTTTGATATTTATGAACACATTAAACGAATGAATACAATTTCATAAAATAATTACGCATACTGAAAAAACCATTGATGAACTAGACAAAACAAGATCAATAACTTTAAAGTGAAGGAAAAGATCATCACAAGTCATAAACAACTATATTTTATTAGAACTTATCTCAAATGATCACATTATTTACAAAGCTAATTATATGTTAAAAGCTAAAATAAAGCTTTTTCAAATTTACAAGATTTTGATGAAGAGCGAAGCGTTACCTGTGACATTGAATACAGTTTTATATTTTTCAAAGAAGAAGACAAAATAAATGATTGATGAGTAAGTTGATTTTTCCAAAGTAATCAGAGTATGCCACATTCACGTGCATTTAGTAAGATTTCCACGTTATTTAGCTCATAATCAATGGTAATAAGATCCAATTTCCCATCGTTATTGAAATCTCCTGAAGCGACAGTCGGTTGCGCCAGAAAAGTTCCGCTAGCAATATCGAGCAATATACCTACGTTATGGACGCCACAATTAGTGACAATAATATCTAGTAGATCATCGTTATTGAATACCTATAAACTCCAGTGAAAAATGTCACTTGTGCTTGAAAAGCTCCGTTAGCAGGATGAGTAAGTGGTCATGTGAAGAGAGACCTATCACTCTCATTCTCATCCATCTTGGTTCTTTGCTGTTGACGTCAATATTGATGAACTTCAATGACCGATTTTTTGGATAACATCCTATACCGATGGTTTATTACCTATGTTTTTTGAAAATCGATATCAATTTGATCTTGACACGTTGTTGAGAACCATTGTGACGAGAATCGCACTGAATTAAATTCAAATGATAACTCTGCTGATATTGACAGATATTCGATCCTTGAAATGACACTTTCCTGAACTGTCTCGTTTTCATACATTATATTGAAGTGTTGTCATCTCTATTTCCTAATGTGAAACATTTGTATTTATCTTCTGTCAATTTGAAAAGGGATCTGATTCGTTCGATTGATGGATTCAAATATGTCTCCGATACATCGTTTATGATAAAGTGTATTAGAAGTTTGTTTTATGAACGGACCAAAAAACGTATGGTATCGTATTTTTTGATGTGTTTATTTATTGTACACAAGTCTATATCTAGAAAGGTCAAGTGAGTGTATAATTTAATTTCGATTTTTTCCTCCACTACTCGTTCTTTTTCTCCGCGTATAGAAACATGCACAGCAGTTACTAGTAGCGTGAATGATGAAAGTGCATCGAATCTAAGAATAGTCGAGAAATGAGAGAACGAAGAAAAATCCTTTTATTCTATTCTTTTACTATCATTTTTCTCATCCATTTTACTCTTCTACTTCTAAATATGGGCAATTCAGAAGGTGGACTACGCATTGTCGAAAATTCCGATTTACTCTACGAGTATAACAAAAATGTTCGACCAGCGGTTAGTAAGATCTCTGTTGATGTATAGAAATAAGACGATTTCTCTTGTAGCACAAAGCGGTATCAATAACGACTCATTCAGCCAAATTGCACAAAGAAAGTACCGCAACGGCAGATATTCCATTCGATTGTATGTTTCATTGTGTAGAAAAGATAAGATTTAAAAAAAAAACCTAGTGAAATTTTTTCTCTTATGATCAGCTTTGCTCTTCAGTTAGAAAGTCTACTTATAGGAAAATACACTTATTAGAGGAATCAGAAGAAAACCTTGTCTATCTATGTGTCGAAAATGCGGAGAGAAACTTGATAATTTCTCAAATATTTTTCTAGTATCTTTTTCACTGGGTCTTGATTATCCTGCAAGTTGTCCGAATCTTCTTGCTGGCTTCATTCATATCAAACCGAATGATTCTTTCAAACAAGACAGTATTCTCACATGCACTCCACTATGTTTATACGTTATTCGAGGTCGTGGTACAACAAAGATTGCTGATGAAGGCCAAGTAGATTGGTCCGAAGATGATCTATTAGTCGTTCCTTATCAAACACAAGCACTCAATCATTTTGCACACGAAGATACGGCCTTCTATTATGTACATGATGAGCCTCTTCTCAAGTATCTTCGGGCAAAGCCAGCTGAGAAAGCTTTTACAACGACTATTTTTCGAAGTCATGTTCTACGAGAGAAAGTAGAAAGCATTCGAGAAAAACCAGGTAGTGAACACGCGAATCGACTTGGTACATTAATCGGAAATCCAGATATAAGTGAAACAAAGTCTTTAACACATACATTATGGGCATTAATGAATGTTCTACCAGCGAATTCATTGCAAAAACCACATCGGTAATTTCCAACGTTCTTTTAATCCTCTACAATATTCAGAATCACTATCTGCATTGATTAGTCATAATGCCGTAGCATTGGATTTGGTTACATATGCACCTAAAGGAAAGTGTTATACACTGATTGGTTATGATCTAAATGAAGATGGTACCATTCGTTCACCGACTCGATTAGAATGGAAATCAGGTAGTGCATTTACAACTCCTCTTGGCATGTGGCATTCGCATCACAATGAATCGACAGATGAAGATGCTTGGATTTTGCCAATGCAAGATGCTGGTCTATCGTTGGGGTGTGGGTGTGGGTGTAGGTGTCTTATCTTCATACACACCCACACCCACGTTCACACCACCCACACCCACACCCACCCTTTGTGATTCTTCTTTTTTTAGTCTATATTATGTTCTCAATCGTCATTTTTCTTTTTCTATAGGGATCGTACGATATTCGATTTGCTGAAGAAGAATGGAAATATCTTAAAAGTGAACATGCTATTAAAGGTATCATTTATTAAAATAAAAATTGTTTTTATCTTCGCATTTTTTGTTTATTTCTCAAATAAAATTTAAACTAGCATTACTGTAGTACCGTTAGACAACCATCATTAAAATATAAAATATGTTTTAATATTAGAGTTAAATATATTCTCTCAGTTAAAATAAACGGAACACCTTATTTTGTTCAATTTTTCCATAAATGGCAGTGCCATTCGGTCTCACATTTACGCCATTGGTACATCCTTTGTTAGTCTATATGCTTCCAAAGTGTCAGCGGAAAAGATCAAGAATACATTGAGATAATGGCAAATGTATTTATTGGCTATGTGTCATTGTGCTAGAAATTTGGCATTATCCTTGTTTTGTCGGTATTTATCTTTCTCTTCTGAATTATTTTATTTCTAACTGGTCCAGCTAGTAGTATTGATCTCACTCTAACACGTCTCTGTCTTTCTCAATGAGCCAATATTTCTCTTCCTTATCATCGCACATTCAACACGTTAAGTTATTCGACTACGATTCTGTGCAACGAACCGTTATGAATCGTTAATGAGCTGTTTTTTACAATTCAATGGTACTGCTGTAATGGACTTTCGATTATGGATACAGAAAGGAAATAGGAGAATAATCTTTTTCAAGACAGAATGCAATGTTTGTTCATGTATAAATAATTCCATACTCTGATATAAAATGTCGTCGAAACTTGTATGCATATACACGTTAGCTTATTCATACTATGACAAGAAGCGATTTAATTCTTTTGATCTTAGGTTTGAGTGTTGCTGTTATATAAGGTGAGATAGTTATATTGAAATTTTCGATGATTATAATTTTAAATTACAATAGGAAAAATATGTGTCAAACCTCCTTTGTATCACGGCCAATTAGTATGCTACCCATCAAATATGTCATCAATTTTGGGCATGTCACAATACTAATACAGTATTGAGGTATTGCTTCAGTCAGAAGCAACTTATTTTGAGAAAATAGCCATTACTTTTATAAAACTTGACACAAGCTTTGCGGAGTCGAGGAATTGATCAGGACCATCAGAATTCAAAAGAGTGGGGTGTGGGGTGTGAGGTGTGGGTGGGTGGATGTGGATGTGGGTGTGGGTGTGGGTGTAGGTGTTGGTGTGGGTGTTTAGTGTTTGTAAGAAGATCGCAGGCACACAAGTACCGCTCACCCACAGGTGATATTCCTGGAGATTGACAGCGATGTTGAAAATTTCTAGACCAGTGTTGCTTCGTTTCAGCGTTCAAAATCGCTTTTGAAATATCTTTTCTTTTACCAAAATTCGCTTGAAAAATAGTTGTCGATCACGATCATATAGAAAACTGGAATCATTGTGGAGGAATATCGGCAGAACACTTGATTTGTTTTCATGTGAAAAGTGTTTTGTCTGTCTTTTGCACAATGTGAATCAGACTTCTTTTGGAAAATAGAGAACCATTTTTCTCTACGGCATTTTCATTGTTTTCAACATTTGCTGATTCAGTATCATTTCACCTAAATGTTAACTTTGTGCTGTTTTTCTTCGAAGTGGGAAAAAACCCACTGCTCACAGTCAACAACGTGCGTCATTCTCCATTTTCTTATCGAATCCTTTCTGCGCAAAAGAAAGCAGCTATTCAAGTGTCCCTTGTGCAAGGCAGAGACATTGACTTTCCGCGAAAAAAAGCAAAGGGAAGGCATGTTCATCAATAAAATAGTTCTCTCTGTGTGAATGATTCATGCATTACAAAAGACACGCTGCATCCTTGTCTAAGAATGATAAGAAGAGGGTCTACGGGATTCTGTTCGAACTTTGAAAATGAATAAAATATTTAGAATAGGTCGTTGATGTCACGCTCAAGATGTTGAACAAATTCTCTAAGAATCAGATTCAAGTACAGTGCATGCTATGCGAGACAGGGTTCAGTTGAATGCAACGTCAGAATAAAGATTAATTATCATCGAACTGTGTGCAAATATTGGATACTGCTGTGAATCTTGTAACTGTTCTTCGGACAGGAGGACGTGGCGGTTCGTCTTCTGTCGAACTCCCCTTATTAGTCATTTCCATATCATCGTTGTGGTATAGTGGAATCAAATTACGACCAGTTCTCTGCGGAACACAGGGTGTCGACCGCGAAGTGCGGAAACTTGCTTCGACATATATCGATTGGGAATCATGTTCGCCGGCTGGAATGACTCGGCTTCAATGACTTTGCCATGACGACATTCAAGTCTAAACTTCATGCTGTCGAGAATCGATAGACACTATCATTCGATCTCGAGACAGCCACCCTTAATCCCAGTGAATACGATTATTTACCTCACTTGACGTTGGGTTGGGCTCTGCCGCTTAATTGCAGTACACAGCATTTGATTCCCAAATAGAGACCATTTCTTATGGAAAAAATTTGCAATGGATTTCAGCTTGGAGTTTTCGTTGGAAGTCTGTGGCAGTGGCCACCAAAATGAAGACTATCAAGAAAGTGGAATCAGTCCAGTTCAAATTGGCAGTGACTGATTTCTTAAAAGTCTCTACCGTTCGATCGGTTTCTTCTCGCCAAAAAGCTGCGAAGTTTCAAGTTGCAAATTTTACTTGAATGGCTACTGTACGCGCCACGGATCCATCGCCCGATTGGGCGAAAGTTACGAAGCTAACGACGAGGATGGGTGTGAGTGTGGGGTGTGGATGAGCGTGGGTGTGGGTGTGATGAGGGTGGATGTGGATGTCAGTGTGGGTGAGTGGTGGCTAGGGTGTAGTTAGACAGCACAGAGACACTCCATCACCTACACACTATCTACACACCACACCCACACCCTACTTACGATAAATTGTTATTGGTTGAACAGACTGGATCCAATAAACGTTATTTCTTTTGTTTATTAATCGATCATATCACTTATCTCATTCTAACATAGGAGTCGACAACACTAGAAAAAGCCAATTAAATTAAAGTTGAATTAAGCGACGTAATTAGTTAATTCACAGTTAAATCGTCTCAAAATGATGACTTAATTCTGAATTAACTAATAAGATTGTTTTATTCAACTTTTATTTAATTACCATTTTCTAGTATGTATGACCCCATAGGTTGAAAATATTTGTGATTTCTTAACTTGAGATGTTATTGAACTTTAATCTAATTTCGTATCCTTTTTTTTTGTAATTTATATCTATTTATTGATGTGTATATTTGTCGTTTTTGGTTCGATAAATTGATTGTAAAAATAAATGTATTCATGAACAAATTGAAAAGAATACGTAATCAAGGGTAGGTCGTGGATACACCAGACAAAATAAAAGTGAACAAACCAATCACGTTGCTTAATTAGGTTTTATTTTGTAGTGTCTTTTGACCTCTTAATGTATGTGCCCTTTTTCTTTATATAAAAAATTCACAGTGATACCATTTGACGATAAAAAAAATGTTCGCTAAACGCTTTATTGCAACAGTCGAGTATGAACATTTTAGTCAAATTGATCGTCGATTTGTGAAGTGAAAAGGAAAAATAAAAATAAATTCTTCTTCTATATCATATAAACATTGAACACTCAATGAGGAGACGCACACTCGTTTATAGAAGTTCAACAAGAATAAAAGGTATGTTGGAAAAATGTTGAAAATAAAAATATCAAATACAAAAATAATACAAATATAGACGTATAGAAATGCGGAAAACGAGAGTATTTTGAAGTACAAATCTCCGATACTCTCACCTTCAATCTTACATGTTTATCTTCGCCTCATATTCTTGTTTTCGATATTTTTCCCATTCGACATTTTTCCTTTCTGCCTCTTTCCATCCATTCGAATAACAAGGTTCAACCATTCATATATTCAAATAATATTTATTCAACAATATTTTTTTTTCATGATAAGGTTATTTCTTAAATAAGAATAAAGAAAAAGTAAAGTTAACTTTTTTTTGCATTTGGAAGCAACTTCATGTGATTATAATATTTTAATAAAAAATGCTTGATTGGTAATTGTACTATTTCCAAGTCTAATAAATGTGAAAGTATTTCGTATAGTAGCATTGTGAATACTCATTCATTTATTATTTTTAACATTGATATCTTCATGTGTAATAGTGGTGAATTTAAAAAGCGTTGATTAAGTTTGTTATTTTCTTTCCTTTCATTTTTTTAGCAGAAACGACCTAAGAAATTGTAAAATAAAATAAAGAATAGTTGAGTATTAACATTTTAGTAAATAAAAATTGAATGAAATAAAAAAAAGTTTAAACAAGAAAATTTCGAAAGAAAAAATTTCGATGTTGAAATAATTTGAATATATTTTTCAGTTAAAATGATTAGTAAATTGGAAATATTACCAAACGAAATATTTTTTAATATATTTTCTCATTTATTATGGAACGATATATTAACATCATTTTGGTTATTAAATAAACGATTTAATTCGCTTATTTATTTAAACTTTTCAATAAATAATTGTGGAATTATTATTAATAAAACAAGTTTATCTTATAAAATATTTTTATCAAAATTATTTCCATTAATTTCTAATTGTTCGTCTCTGATTAATTCTATTCGACATATTCATTTGGATGGAACATGTCCACATAGTTATGATTTTTTTAATAAGAATCATTGTATTCAGAATTATCCTAATCTTAAATCACTTATTCTTGATCAATTTTATTTATCTAAAGTATTAATTAATAATTTGTGTTTTCTTATTACAGGCCGATTGAACGAACTTACAATGATCTTAGATGAAGATGTTTTTACAGTATTTGAATTGGAAAAGGAACCTTTGGAAAGGGCTGCCACTCAAAGTAATTCATTATTTTTCAAACAGCTTTTTTTAATGAAAAGGATATAGAAATTACTCATTGTTAAAATTGATTCTATTTTTCAAATCAATGTTTTATTTGATGAAAAATAGTCGAGAAAAAACGCAATGAAAAGACTTTCCGATATCCGTAAGTCAAATAACGTACGTTGTAAAATTAAATAACTATAGAGAGAAAATAAAACATTTGGAAAATAAACAGAGGGTTTATCATATCCATTCAAATTACTAGATTTATCTATTTCTAAATAAGAGATTTTAAATGTATAGATATTGGAATTACGATTGTCGAGAACTGTGGAAAGACGGGGGACACTCCTTTTTCCAATTTTTGGAAACGACATCCCCGATGTTGAAAAAGTTGTTGAAATTCACTGAAATTTCGGCTGCTAGTAGAAGAAAGTGAGATACATTCACGATAGAATTTTCAGTTTTATATGCTTGATTAAAAAAGAGTTATAACGAAGATACGTGTGTATAAAATTAGTGAAAGAATAAAAAAAACTTTGTCTCCTATGATTCTCAAATAATCACGAATGTTTAGATTTCATAGTATGAAAAACATTTTAGCAAATGCAGTACAATAGAGCGTCAAATGCTCTATACTTTTAGCCTTGTTTGAATATTTTCTGCAATTTGTCGAAATATTTTAGAAATACGAACAAAGTGAAGACCTATCTTTTTTATCGAAATTTTGACTTTTTCACAAACAGTACATTTAAGTAATGTGTAATCTTATCTTCATATGGGAACATTGTTCCAATATCGAACATTCACAAAAAACTGCGTTTTAATGCAGACTACTATCACTACAAATTTGACGAGAAACAGTTCTGTTCGAAGGGAGATATGCCTATATCAAGGTTAAAAGCGTACTGATAATTATTCTTTTTTTTTTGTTTTCAAAAAAAAAAGAAATTATTGGAGTGAATATTTGTCGAGTCGTGGCTATATTTGAGATATTGATCATCATTAATAGACAAGTCAATGTATTCGACTACTTTAACAATGAATTCGAATTTGAAAATCTTATAAAATACTTTATCCTTCGTTTATCTTATGAGTCACTATACTTTCAATCGTCATTCCAGTCGACTAGAACATAATTATAAAGCAACTATCCGATAATAAAAATTACATTGAAAGATCTAGCATCTTTTCAATGTATATGAGTAAATTATCATTTTCGTTTCGCGTATTGTATCAAGTTGTTGATATACAAAACGAATTGAATACGTATAAACGGTGATGGAAAAACAGATGCTAGAAGAAAAATTCGATTTTTGTTCGATGTGCTATTTTATTATTTTTTCTATTGTATATTAGATACATTTGTAGGCGAATCAAAAAAAAAATAAAAGTTGTGTATTATAAAAAAAAAATAATGCCAACAACTTCTGATAGTTGTATTGCCATTGTGATGAAGTCTTCTAAGGAGGATGGCAATCTAAGAAACTTTACATTTGACCAGTATCATAATTAGTATACATACGATCAGTAGAAAAACATATATAAGTGCGGTTGATTTAAGAGCTATATCAGAATCTCAACGATAATGTCATAGATAATTTTTTTCTTGTTTAATTATTTTTCTTCTTTTCGGTTCTGTTGTTATGTAAGAATAGCATCATTTTTTCCAGGACATTCAAGTGTATTCTGCACTTCTTTCGTTCTCACCTATTTTTCGATTTTTTTCGCTCCAATTGTACAAATCGAATACGATTCACCCATATACGTATATATATAGAACACAATAGAATTCATTCACTTCTATGAAGAAAAAAGAGAGAAAATACAGATGAGAACGAAAGAAATGTAGAATATACTTGAATGTCCTGGAAAAAATGATGTTATTCTTGCATAACAACAGAACCGAAAAGAAGAAAAACAATTAAACAAGAAAAAAAATTATCTATGACATTACCGTTGAGATTCTAATATAGCGGTTAAATCAACCGCACTTATCATATATGTTTTTCTACTGATCGTATGGACACTAATTATGATGCTGATCAAATGTAGAGTTTCTTAGATTGCCATCCCCTTTAGTATGTTCCATAACCAGGCTTACCAATTAGGGAGGATGGGGCTTCCCTCTCTCCCCTCCACCCCCTTCCCCCAGAAATAAAAATTTGGAAACTTTCTGCCAAAGTTATTGAACCGGTGTATGAAATTTAGGGAGTACGATGGATGGTAGAACGACTCCGGCTGTTGTAAGTTGCATAGGCGTCAGGAGGCTACGTGTGCGAAGCTAAAAAAATTTTTTCAGGTTAGAAGTTTAGAGGTCTCCGTGCTCCGGGAAGGGTTTTCGGCAGAATCGACAACAAAAATTTCTCCAGGAAATGTATACTTTAGTGTATTTTCTTGCGCTGACTGTAAACTTGTACGAAGCTACTTTCTGCCAAATTTTCGTCCCCACCACTCCTAAACACAATCGACAACCATGACCATAACAACCACCATACCGAAAAATGATGGTTACGCTAATCGTATTTTAGTGTTGGCTTGTTACCTATGTGCAAATATATGTTGATATTTTGGTAGGGCAGATTTGTGTGAAGGGGAATATTATATAGTTTAAAGAATAGAATTTCGAAGAAAAATAAGATTTCTTTTTTCATGAAGAGAAATTTAAAAAAATGAAAGAGAATTTGAATTGAATTTTTCATATTAAATAATAAATTAGTGAATTTTGCAAAGATCCTATTAACTTGAGTTTGTATTTGTCGTTCCATCATTAAAATCTTTCAAATTAGATACTTGCGCGTAATATTTTTATTATTAATGAAAATCTATTTTATATTAATAATAGAGAATATTTTCTGTAACATAGTAAGAAATCAATTAATGTTCAAGGATCTGTTATGTGGTATATTCTCTGAAACATGTAAATTAATTAATCTTCGACTTGATATTCCCTGCAATCAATCTTATTTGATTATTCACGATTGTTTATCGTTTTCTTATCATGCTTCAATTCCACGTTTTTTCAAAGAACAATATTGCTGTAGAAAACTTCGTTATGTAGAGATTCACCTACATTATGCATGTTTTATTGAATATATTATTGAACATGCACGTAATATTGAACGATTATTGGTTTGTCTCAAGACATCATGGAACAGATATCAATTATCGGATTTGGCAAGTGAAAAATTTGAACAATCGAATACAATCTCGTCTAATAAAGTAAAGTTTCTGTTATTTTTTTGGTGTTCTTAGGAAAAATGACTCTTGAAAAAGGTTTATTGGATAGTGCGTATTGCCACTTTAGTCATTATTGAATATTGTTTTTTGAAAATAGAAACTTCAGTAAGAGTGTTGATTTGAAATGGAAATAAACTTCGCTGATGAATAGCATATTCGGTGGTCGAAAAGACAGGCTTTAGCATAATTGCAAGGGAATATATACAAAACGAAATAGATCTCTTTACGATATTGAGAATATTTTTTGTTTAATCTCAAATTCCGTTTAGAGACAACAAATTGAATACTTCTTATGAAAGCTAAAATATTGTTAAAACAGAGGCAGCGCGAACTGGAGGGAGTAATTTGGGGAGAGTACTTCCTAGCTTTTTAAAAAATCAAGAGCAATTGTCTTTCATTTTTTTGAGAAACTTCGCATGCGCTTGACTATCCCCTTTGGTTTTGAAAAATTGAGAACAAATTCTTCTGGCTTTTGTGAAATTTCGTCGAATTTTATCACGCTCAGAAGTGTCCTGATTATTAGAGACCACGCATGGAACTGGAGTGTGGATTCCCTATTAGATGAAAATTTTGGAATTTTTCGTTATGAAAAGTAGACAATAGTGTGTGTTGATTTCATAATTTAATATTCCAAGAACAACATCCAATATGAAAGATGTTTTCAGCTTCTTTTGTCTTTCGACATAGATAACGGTTGAAAGGATAGCCGCATTCGGCATCTAAATATAAAATAAGAACTATATATTTGTTTTCTCATTCTACAAAACTAATTCCTATTTTATTGAGTAATATATATTTCAAGAGAACATTTGTAATAGTGTTCTAGATGGCTGCCGCCTTCGGCAGTTGAACATAAAATAAAAAATCTTTCTTGTTGGGTCACTCGGAAAGTCGACTTTTTATTACAAAGAATTAAAGATTTTCCTGAGTTTCGTTTTTGATACTACTGCAAAAAGTTTCCGTCTTCGCCCGTATGCGCGTCTAAGAGGCATACTAAAATAATATTTTTCATAGAATCATTTTGTCATCAGAAAATGATGATTTTGGATTGAAAAATTTTCGTTATGGGACTAGAGTCCCAACGGATCCGAAGTTTTTCAGACCTGGACCCGAACCCAAACGTGATTGAGTAAACTTTTCAGACCCGGATTTTCAATCACACTCTGACTACTTTCAATGAAGTTCTTTTCTCTCTGAACTTGATAGTCGCTTCGAAAATACGACATTTGTTTTTTCGCTTATTTATATCGATGACTAGCATAATCTATAGGTTTTTCAGGTAATTTTGACAGTGATTTTGAAATAGTCGAGTTATAATTGGCTTTTACTCCTAAATACAGCCTGTTGGATTCAAAATCTTCGGACCCGGTCAACAGAAAATTTTTGAGCCCGGATCCGATGAATAGAGAATTTTTGGATCCGGACCCGATGGACTCTATATAGGACACTGCAAAAGTTATACATACAAAAAAAGCAATGGAAAACGATTCTTACACTTGCGACGGAAATATTTTTACCAATCCCGCCACTTCGTCCAGCAATTTTTCGTTGTGCAGGGATCTTTTGAAACTGTTTAGGAAGCTTACACCCCCTCCTGATAATTCTAGACCTCTTGCTCGGCGACTGGTCCCGAGTAAGAAGGTCAAGGGAGATTACCTGTCTAATCTTAGAAAATTTTTGTTTTTTTGATCGATGACTTAACAATTTTTCACGAATTTTTTAAAAATTTTCTAAAATTTCGTCACCTCATATGTCTCATTGTTGGATACCGGTACCCTCGCTCCAAAAAGTTTCGGATGCACTTTTCCCATTTTCTTCCATTTGTGAAAATACTCGTCCACTGCTGTGAGCTCTTCGTGCCGGTCTTGTGTCAAAAACAATTAATAAGTTTTTGTAGGTTATAAAATATTAAAGATAAATAGTAAATAATACGTATATTTAATCAATATATTTAATTTTTTTTATCAGAAAATAAAAATAAAAATATTTGATTATTGATGAAAGATTTATTTTTATGCTGTTTTAGAAATTCCGAGCAGAAAAATTAAAATATCTTATATTAAAGAGTACGGTTGAGTATGATGGTCAATTATATTATTTAAAATGGTTTTTTAATAATTTAAATAGTGTTGAAAAGATCAAAATTCGTCTTAAGATCGATGGAACTTGTGAGAAAAATCCAATAATATATGGATCTATTGTTGATGCAAACTTTATTCGGAAATATTTAATGAATGATCGAATAATTAATTTAATTCATTTTGATTTTTATATTGTTTCCAAATGTAAATTATTGTCAAATTATAGTGAAAGAACAATTAATTCATTTAAAAATCATTCCTTTTTTATCGAACGTCATTGGACAAATGTTAAATGTTTGTTCGATGAAATAAAATTTTATCAACATCTTTCTTCTTCGCCATCTACTATTAATAATCTCTCAGAATATTTTCACGATTTAATGTAACAAATCTTTTTTTTTTTCTTTAGGAATATATTTATTTATTTTAGAATTTATCCAGATATTTTTTATTGGCCAAATGTGAAATATATTCAAATAGATTTGAATGAAAATGTATATTCGCATCTCGAACGATTTGATAAATGCTTTCCAAATGTGTCTTGTGTTAAATTTAATATGGGTAAAGATTTTTTACTGTAAACTATTTTAATAAACCGTTACGATTTTTTTGTAAACTGACAAATATAAAACATGAAGTTCAATTTGTGTAGAGAAAGAAAGAATTTTCTAAATATTATTTTATTTTAATTCAATAATTTTAAAAAAATTCAAAAAATGACTGTTTATTTTCAGAAATTGGTTTATGGTTTAATAAATCAAATTATTCAATATCATCATTCGAATTGGGACAACTGAAACTAATAAATATTCACTTGCGATACGTGACCAGACTCGATTTTGGATTATATTTTCATCGTAACTCTGGTAAATATAATTTTTCTTTTTTTAATATTCAATAAGAACACAAGACTCGATCATATCTTGACAGCGATAGCTTCATAAATTTCATTTAATTCAATTATTCTATTCTGCAAACAGATTTGCAAAGAAATCGTATCTCATTTGTTTTTCATTGTTTTATAAAGAAAAGGATCTTGAAAAACTTCTGAAATTCAAATACCTTGTATTTTGATAATCATAAGGATGTTTAGAAAGTTTTCCTATTTATATTTAATAACGAATGATCATTATTAAAGTAATCTCAATTGGAATTTGTAAACATGCTTATGATTTATAAAGAATCTGTCAAACGTCTTAAAGTATTATTTTGAACATAATTTAATTCGTATATTAGTAAAAAAAAGATACGGTGTTGAGAGCTGCACAAGCACAGATACAAATGTATTCTGAAAGAGATTAAAAAGTTGATTTCAAAAGCTTTAGCATTCTTTCAAAATACGATTCTTAGGCAGGAGGAAAATTCAAATAATTCCGTCCCGGTTCGAGGTATAATAGATGTTCTTTTTTGTTTTAAAGGTTTTCATCAAAGCTTCTTTTTCATTGCATGAATTTTTGATACTTGCTTCTTGGGGCTGAGAAAAGTCAGATTTACTGTCGATCGAGTCACCTTTTTTTTCCATATTTTGAACACTATGGCCATTAAAATGCTCATAAAAGAGAATGGAAGGGAATATGAAAATTTCATCAGACGAAAAGTTGTGCACAGAAATTATCTTTAATTTGAAACTAGTCTAAGCTCTGTACTTCGTCTTACGACGGAATTATTTCGATTCTACTGGATGATAGGAAAAGAAGTCGAAAGTTAAGGCTAGTCAGGCATATTAGACTGAAATTTTTAAATTAGGCATGTCTTACTAGGATTATCCATTCCTGAAAATGTCAGTCCAAACAGTACAGTATATTCTAAGATGGAAATAATTTCCCGAGGGGGACCTGAATGAGAATGTTCGTTTTGAAATATTGATAAATTCACCGCGGATCACTTGTAAAATTAGATATTTTCATTGTCGCAATTTCTTTAAAACTGTGACGAGCATCTCAAAATAATTATGCTAGTTTGATCTAAGATCATTACCAATGGTAATGTTAAAGAAATTCTTGTAATGAAAATAGCTCTTTTTACAAGAGATCTACAGTGAACTTATCAATGTTTCAAAATGAACATTCTCCTTAAAACATTCAAATAGTCGCTTACTTTGTAACCAAATCATATCAGAGTGCTCGTCACAGATCATTAGAGTTACTCGCCTTTACTTAAACAATTTCTTTTATATATACTTCAAATACAAGTACAAAGTACCGTATTTTTCTACTTAATTCCAAGTACAAAATTTCATCTCAATGTATACGTATAAGTATCAAATAACTTTCATAAAGCACAAATACAAGTATCAAGTACATTTTTGTAAGTACAAGTACAAAATTTCTACTTGAAAAAGTAGCAAAAGTACAAGTACGAATACATTCGTCCTAGATCTGAGAATGACAAGTCCAAGATGACACATAGAGCAATGAAAAAAGATCAATATGTCATGTATTGGAAAGTTTTGTACAATTTTATTAGTTCGACAATGATGAAATCTCTCAGAAAAATAGAGGGTTATTTTTTGTTATTATTACATTTAAAAAGAAACTTTTCTTAAGTATACTTACCGAAATAAAGTATCTATGTCATTTATTTGTGTATGATATAAGTATTATAGATTATTGTCTCAAAATAGAATTTTTATGATAACAAAAATTGAATAAAAGTATATTTTCAGCATACTATGAAAGATTCGTCGATCAAAATACAGAACGTGCAAAAATCCTTGCTCGTATTATTTCAATGCCCATTCAACTCAATTATCTTCGGATCGAAAATTTTCAATGGCTTTTACATCTTGTTGAATACGTAAGATTAAATTTGACTATTACATTCGTTTCGAGCTGAAAATGACAAATACATTTGTGATACCTATTATATCCTCTAACTTACTGAACTGAAACCTATTCGCACTGAGTATAATAATCAAATAGAGGCTAGGAGGGCATAAAACCGTATTTGTCCCCTTTCCCTTTTTATTTTCTCATCTAAACCTAATTAATTCATATACGGGATAAAAGATCATAAGCTCCTGCCTATTTTGATGCCAAATTCGAGGTATTTTTATCCGATTATTGGTGTAAATATGGCGTAATACTTTAACAAAATTCATGAATTCCAAATTCAAAAATTTTCATAATTCTTATTATTCTATAGTGAGAAAACCCATTTTTGACACGCCTTAGTTTAGTACAAAATTTGTTATTGATGCTATTTCAACTGACAGAGTTACCAACTAGAAACATAAACATTTTATGGAAACTGTTCACAATAGACCTTGGGACTTGTGGTTATCATTACATAACAAACTCTGTAGACATAGAGTTACCCCGTAGTAAAGACCTCGAGAATTATGAGTACCTCTCAATAACAGGCCTGGAGGAGAAGCCATGGGTATCCCGTAGTATAGGACAGGAGCAGCTAAGGAAATCTCTATATAATATACTTAGAGGGCCAAGGTTACCTCCTAGTATACGACTTGAGCACTTTTATATAACAGACCTTGATGACTAAAGAGTATCTCTATATAATAGACGTAGAAGACTGAAGGGTGCCCCATAGTATAGGACTCGAGGACCTAAGATTATCCCACAGCATAGCCTTTGAGGGACTCAGGATATCTCTATATAACAGAACTTGAGCACTTAAGGGTACCGCCATGGTATAGACGTTTAGTTCCTATGGGTACTCGTAAGCAACCGACGATGTAATAAAATATATTCATTATATATACCCAATCTACCACTCACGACTGGTAGACTGGTTCATGTACACTTTTATCAGTGTTCTCGATGCACAAATGGGAGAATATGGGGAGCCAACTACTTCTATTGGATATGTGATGGAATCGTCCAACTGAAGATTCGTCTTGAAATATTTATTTTAATACAATTGTTTAATGCAGTTTTTCATGTGCTTTCTAATGATATATCATACATTCTAATAAGTAAGACTTTCTCGGAAAAAAAACATTTTATGACCAGGTCACTTAGAAATTCCTAGATGAACTCTTGAACAGTCATACTTTCTCAAGTACAGTCATGAAGGATAATTCGGATCACATTTTTAAAAATTCATTTTGTTTTTCTTCATTCTTCTGTATTTTACGTCATATAGAAGTGAAATTTGGATCACAAGTAGAACGAAGTGTACTCTATCGATTGACGAAAGAATCTTCGAAAAATCATGTATTGTAAGAAAATATGATCAAAAATACAAAAAGCAGTGTCGAAATGATCCGAATTATCTCTCATGACTGTACTACAAGGCAGTTTTGACAAAAAATTAGTCATTCGTTATAGCATAATTTGGTCTTTGCAATGATGTATTATGAAGAAATTTTCATATTACAATGAACATGTTACGACTCGAAACTATAGCTTGTCAAATAATTTTGGAAGATGAAAAAATGAAATACTTTTAGTATATCCTCAATGAACTCTCTATAAATTACTTAATCGATCTCAGGTTTTTTTTAAAACACAGTAACAGTCATGAGGTATTATTGGATAATATTCAGATTATTTTGAGCTTGTCTAATTTTCGAAATATAAGCAAGACAAAAACTATTTTTCTGCTTGTAGGATAATCTTGATAGCTACTGTATATCTATAGAAAATGAAAAAGAAAAGAAATATTTTAAAGTTGTAAGAAAAAGGAAAGATATCAAGAAGGAAAAATTGTTAAAATAGTCTATATTGAAAAGCAAGATATTTAATACTTGTTGTATATATTAATTTATTTGATCGTTGGAAATTTCATATTTATTTTTATGAGCCAATTATGATAATTGAGAATGATTTGTTAATTCTTTTTCTTGTTATATTTTTAGGCGTTTGATGAATTAAAAGAAAATGCATTAAGCAACGTGAGATACACGGAATTTTCTCTTCCAAGTTGTCGTCGTGGCACAAATGAATCAGTTCATCTTGGAAAATATCTTGTACCTTTTCTTAGTAAACATATGCCTTATCTACAAACATTGTGTCTTTGGAAACCAGATGATTTTCCTTGGTCATCAAGTAAGTGCTTTTCAGATGAAAAAAAATAATTATCACGTGGGACACTCCAGAAGTTTTTTCGCCCGCTTCTTCTAAAAGCCTTAGTTTTGGTTCAAGTATTCTTTTATAATGCTTAGACATATTTAGGATTATGGGCAAAATTTCAGCCTTATAAATCTTATCCTTTTGTTGTTGCCCATCATTTGTTTTACGTGAGTTAGATGCCATTTTCTATAGTCTACATAACGGATGACTTATAATAAATGACAGAACCTTGCATCTCATATTTTTATTCCTAAAAATATTTTATTAAAAAAGAACAAAATATACCAGGAGGTGCAGCGTGAAAAGCTCTACGATTTACATAGAACTAATTTTACAGTAGCATATCTAGTATCCAAAAATTGACAAAGCTCTGAACAATAAAATTTCGATGGTGCGAAATCAATGTTTTTTTTTTGATAAGAGACCAATTCGTTTTTTCTTATTCCATCTTTGTTTTACCTGATATTTTCTATTAAATAAAAAACAAAACACACCATCAAAAGCCGCATGAAAAGCTCTACAATTTACATAAGACTGCGTATTTTACGGTTGCATTTTTTTCTTTTCGAAATTGACAAATCTTGAACGATTAAGTTTCGAAGCCAGAAAAAAGTTGGTTTTTTGGTATGAGGCGAACGCGCGTTTGTTCTAATTTATCACCTGATGTTATAGTTTTAAAAGAAAACAAAATACATGACAAGATGCAGCGTGAAAAATTCAACAATTTGCAAAGAACAGTTCATATCATATATGCACCTGTTGTTTTTTGAAAAAAGCCAAATTCTGAGTAACCAGCTTTTGACGCTGCAAAAATTCTACACGAGCGAAGACTTCCTTTTCTTTGTATTTAATCTTTTTTTCAATCAGCATACTTTCTTAGAAAAAAATAGAATATGACGAAAGATGCAGCGTGAAAAGCTCTACAATTTAGAAAGAATTGGTTATTTTAATTGTTAATTTTTTATTTTTAAAAAGAAGCAAAATTCTCTGGAGTACTTTTCGCAGCAGTGTCGAAGGTTGCTTGCTAAAAATACTGTTTATTTTGAAACAAAAAAGACACATTCAAGATAAGCTTTACATCGTAGATTGTAGAGCTTTTCACGCTGCGTCTCCTGGTATATTTTGCTCTTTTTTAATAATATGTTTTTAGAGATGAAAATATGAAATGCAAGGTTCTGTCATTTATTATAAGTCACTCGATATGTAGACTATAGAAAATGGCATCCGACTCACGTGAAATAAATGATGGGCTACAGCAAAAGGATAAGATTTATAAGGCTGAAATCTTGCCCATAATCCTAAATATGTCTAAGCATTTTAACGGAATACTCGAACCCAAAGTAAGGCTTTTAGAAGAAGCGGGCGAAAAAACTTTTGGAATGCTCTACGTAGTTAACTTGTTATTTTTATAATATTGTGAAAAGTTTAACCCTTTCAAGGCGACTCGATTTTCCTAGAAAATAGCTTTAACAGATTCGTTTTCATGTGGATTCACTTAACGATAAGTGTTCTCGTTGATGTTTTTAGTGTGTACTTCCAGTTGTTTCTCTTTTCTTGTTTGTATCATTACATAGGCAATTCTCTTTCACATTGAACTGAATAATTACTTACAAGTTTGTTATTCTTTCTTTCTTCTATGTACTGCGCAGTAGAAATGAGATAATGTAATGAAATTTCGATTTTTTTTATTTTGTATTCTTTTAATAGCATTATCTGAAATTCTTTCCTCTCGTATATATCAAAACAACTGAAATTCTACGATCGTTTATATGTTATTTGAAGAAATCGATACAGAAAGCAACCGTAACTCATTGAGTGATGTGAGTGCTTTGGATAATAATTTTGCTAATATTCAATTTTAATCTTCAAAGTTCTGAAGAAGTTACTGATGATGATGTAAATTTACAAAGAAAGCTATTTTGTCACAAACGGCATGATCATTCTGAAGTTTGATGAAAGTTTTGCGTAATGCGTACTTTTTGATATACCATTTGAGAAGCTGAGATCCGGTCCAAGACAACAATCAGCAAGCCATTCGAAGCGCAAACTCGCTAGCCACAAGCTCGAATGAAAGGAAGGATCTGTGCACAGTGTCGGCAGACGCTGTACTGGCTGCTATAAGAAAGGAAGGGAACAACAATCAGGAGAAATGAACTATGCTACAGGAAAGAAATAAGAACCTTCTGTTCTGACTGATAAAGTTTTTTGTCTTGATTGTTTTAACAAGAAACATCAGGCTATGCAATAAATGTTTCAAACAACAGCGAAGCCATAGCAAATGACACATTATGTGTAGCCTCATGCGTAAGAAAAGAAGGTGTTTTTCAACTAAATTTCTTGTTAAAATAAAGTGAGACCAACCGGTGGATCTCATCGTCTCGAAAGGGTTAAATAAAAAAAAATTCTCTGTACGATCTCTTACAATGTTTGTCAAATTGTGTAAATGAATTTTGCATACGACAAATTCATTTATTTAAATATGAAATCGATTGTTATTTAGTAATTTTTGTTTTTTTTTTTTTAATACAATTTCTTAATTCATTGTAATATCATTTAAATCTTAAATATAAACCATGGAAACAAATGAGAGAAATTTTGTTATATATTTATCTCTTCCTGTTAAAATATAGAAGTCGAAAAATGAAGGAAGTTTTTTATTCGAAAATATCGATTATATTTGCGTCTATATTTAACACAAATCATGTTTAAATAGTTTCTTTTCTAAAAAAATCCGTGACTTTAAAGTTTTTTAATTTCAGACGGTTTAAAGCATAATTGCTTTTAAAGCAAAATATGTTATGAGTAAGATCTTGTGTGAAAATTTATTTTGGGTGAGCATTTTTTTGATCACCAAAAAGTTGAGTTTTGATCACCAAATTTTTTAGCTGCGAAATGATCACCAAAAAATGAGTGTTTTGATCACCAAATTTTTTTACTGCTAAATGACCACCAAAAAATTAGTGATTTGATCACCAAATTAATTATAGGCGGCAAAATTAAAAAGATAAAAGAAGAATAAAAATTCAAACAAATTAATGCCATATCATCAACAACTACGGCATCTCCGGGTATGCATCCCGTTAATCAAAGGAAATATTATAACAGAAAGCATAATTCTCTTATTCTAAATCTTATCCACATCGCATCAATCTTCACACCCAGAGCTCATCCACATCCAGGGCCCGCGCGAAGGGTCAAAGATGGGGGGGGGGGCGCGTGTAGAAAGATGTTTGCAAAACAACCTCTAAAAAGCGTAAAAAGTAGTCAAATTTTGCTCTTTTAACTGAAAAAAAACTAAAACATTTTGATTATTGGGAGGTCTACACCCCCCGCTCGCGCGGGGCCTGCCCACACCCACACCCACACCCACACCCGATTAGAGAAGTTGAGTTTTACTTATGGGAACATTTTTTTCCCTTTTAATTTGCTCAAATCTTGATTGATTTGGTGATCAAATCACCAATTTTTTGGTGATCATTTCGCAGTAAAAAAATTTGGTGATCAAAACACTCATTTTTTGGTGATCATTTCGCAGCTACACAATTTTGGTGATCAAAACACATTTTTCCCGTTTATTTTTGTGTTATACGAGAAAAATATTTTTTTATTGAAAAATTTATTTTTTTTTCTTTTGTTTTCGGAAGTTCGACCAGATTTTAATCGAGCACGTTATGAACTTTTAGCTCGACAATGGTCAAAATCTTTAAAAACAGTTGAATCGATTAGTACGTAAAGAAAATTAATTTAAAAAGAAAAATTAATTTTTTTCATTTAGATAAACATGTAACTCTTTTTGAAAATGATCTTTCTCAATTAGTCGAACAATTGAAACAATTTGTTTATCTGAATATTTATGGCCATATCATTGATGAAAAAGTCGAACCTTATCGATTGATGATTCAAAAACGTTTTCCTAATACTTATTTCTCTATTGAAAAATCGAGATTTCGTCTTTGGATATAATTTTTTTTTATTTTCTTGTTAGAGAATTACTGAATATTCAAACGATTTTTTTTAAATACAAATTCATTTCACCTTTTCTTTTTGTGTCTCTTAAATGTTTAATTAATTAAAATAAATCTGCTATAAAATTACTTTTCGAATTCAATTTTAATCTATTGAAAATGAGATTAATTTAAAGAACAAAAGAAGAATTTATTGTAGATATTCGACAATTTTCATTCTTCTAATCAAAACTTCACTATGTAGGTTGTAGAGTTTTTCACGCTGCATCTTATGGTATATTTTGTTCTTTAATATAACGTATTAGATGATGAGAAAATAAAATGCAAAACATGGCTATTTATTTTGGTTCACTCGTTATTTCAAGAAATTCCTAGGAATTTTAAGTTATTTGTATCTCTATGACCATAAGAGGTAGAAAGCTGAAATTCTAGCGTAGAGTAGATCTAGATGTATAGTATATATGCTGTGAATAATAGCCTATTCTACCAATAAAACATATAACAAAGAAGTATTACTTGAAGGGATCAAAATTTAGGACACACCCTTTATACACATCTAAAATTCGACTCTAAAGTAAAAACAATAAAATATTCTCTTTCAGATATTTCGCACATTCAATTCATTCGAAGATTTTTAATATCATTTTCCATTTCAACGACGACTATTTTATAGAATCTAAATTAGAACATCTAGATAATCTTCAATAGAATTTCTGCGTAATTCATTTAAAATTTTCAGATTATTTCTCTTAATTTCCATAATACATTGTTCTTTTTTTATGGAAAACTTCTCTTCTCAATAAAATTTATTCATATTTGATTTTGATGAAACGTAATCAATTCGTGTATCATATTATCCTACAGAAGAAGTTGCTCGTAATAAAGAACATTTAAATGTTAATCATATTGATCATTGTTATGAAAGAACTGATTATTGTTCGAATAAGTGAATGAATGAATAAAGTTTATGAACATCCTCCTGGGCAAGTTTTTATAGAAAACAAATAATTGAAATAAGTCGTAAAATTGGATTAAGTTTTGAAGAATTGTTTTCATTTATAATATTAATTCAAATAATTATAAAATAGTTCTAATGGGTAACGCATATTCCCTTGACTGTAGTCAGGATCTAAAACTCGAAATTGACTGTGTGTTTACTCGCAGAGTAACTATCGTTGTTTGGGTCATCATTTTCTCCACTATTGTACGGGCGATACAGTGTTGTCCGTGTCGATAAGAGGTTTTCCAAGGCACTCTATTATCCGCCCGAACAATGTAGCGTTGTCTCCTAACAATAGGAGAGAACGAGAAACAGAAGAGTAAACGTTACTGGGATCATGATTTTCTTCACTATTGTAATAACAACAGATAAGGTTGTTTGCAGCAAATTATAGAGAGCCCTTGAAAACCTCTAATGGACATGGACAACACTATGTTTCATCCTTACAATAATGGAAAAAATCATGACTCAAAACACCGATCCTTTCTCCTCTCTTCTTTCTCTTTCTTTGTTATCTTAAGAGTAACAGAATTAGATAATTGTGATGTATTAACACATAGAAAAATACTCGAGGATTGAATAAATCATAGATCAGTTATATATGTACTTAAGCTCCAGTTCTGAATCGGCACTGATGCATACCTAATCCGAGTGAATCCATAATGATTCTAAGTGATTTTGATGGTTCCAAGTGGCTCCAGATGATTTTGTTGGTTGAAATCAGCTGTTCCCCCTTGGATTAATTCCTCTCAAACTGATAAAATAAGTTCTGCAACAAAATGATTTTGTCATGATTATCTGATGAAACCGTTATTAATCTATTCGGAGTTTTATTTAGTAGTGATCTTTCTTCTCTCTTGTGCCGATGCAGTCAGATTTTGTTTTATTCTTTACTAGAACATATTTTTGTTTGTCTTCATTGATTGTTTGTCATTTTTATACATTCTTCATTTTATATGCTGTGGTTTTAATATAGATATACAAGAGAAAAAAGTTCACGGAACAATATCTGCGTCTCACTAAAAGACTATAAAATCAAAAAGAATTCATTCTTTTCTAGGGTTGCCAGGAATATTTGTCATTAAAAATCATTTTTTGTGAGTGTCTTTTCATGAATTTCTAATCAGATGAATTGTTATGTAGACCTGACCTCAAGTGACATCGAAAATCAGTGACGGTAGGTGTAGTCACTTGAAGTCAGTCTGACTTCAGATTATTTTTCTGCTTTTACCTCTTGCCTTACTTCGCACATCATGTTGCACTTGGGGTGTGGATGTGGGTGTGGGCAGGCGCCGCGCGAGCGGGAGTTTAGGGGGTGTACACCTCCCCAAAAATAAAAATTTTTCAGTTTTATCCGGCCACAAGAGCAGATTTTGTCCACATTTTATGATTTTTCTGCAAGATTTTTCTGAAAATACTCTCTTACACCTCCTCCCCAATCTGCCAAACACCCCCCTAATATTTGATCCTTCGCGCGGGTCCTGGGTGTGGGTATGGATATTCTCTCATTTACGCGCTCACCGACACCCACACTCCACATGTTAAGTATTAGTAGCTATTACTCTCGTATTTTTGAAGTCTATTTTTATTGCTGTATAAGACAATATTACAAACAGCAAAAAGTATCGATTATTAGGAAAATTCTGTTTTTACACTAATTCGATAAAAACTAAAGCATTAAACAAAGAACTACCAACATGAATAGATGACAAAAGCATAAAAGAGTTTTTTCCTTCAAAAATAATTATAAAAGTGATCAAACAATTGGGTTTTCAATATTTTCAGATGTTAATCATTTTTTCTCTCATTCCATCCCACCCTATATCTTGATAAAAACAAAAATTAATTTTAGTCATACTTTTCAACACAGATTTCGAAGTTGTATAAATACTGTTCGATTTTTTAATCATATGTAACTTTATCTTGTAAATTGTTTGATTGCTTTGCTTGCAATTTTGTGGAACTCAGGTATGTTTTCGAAGAAAATAGTGAGTGTAAGTTTTCAGTTGGAGGTTGGCGGCTATCCCCCCCCCCCCTCGCATTATAGACCATAGCAACGTAGGCTACCATTACAGACAACCCCCCCATTACAGACCTTGGCAACTTCGTGAAAAAAAGAATTCTGTTCGAAAGTGAGAGATAAAAATATAGCATTTTCTAATAATCGATTATCTTTAGAAAAGAACTATTATCTTTTGGAGATTTTAAATATTGAGTATTTTGTCATTAGTATAATGAAACCAAAGGAGATATGTGAGTTCCACATTTCAGCCCCAAAGGGGCTGCGTTAACAAGCTTTTGTCGATCGTTTAGATGGTTTCTCATAGTTTCATATGTTTGTATTCTGTAAAAGCGAGAAGCAGTATTATGAATTGGTTCTATATCATAAACTTTATTTTGTATGCATATCACGATGCCTTTAAGCGAAAACAATATTTCATACAAGAATTGTTTTATAGATGAAGAAAATAGGATGTGACGCTTTCCAGAAAACACATTGAAATAATAATTCTTATTAGATATGCTGAAAAAGCTTTCGCCCAAAATGTAGTGCTGAATCGTATGTAATACGTATTTTTGGAATTTAGCGTAGCATTCAGCTTTGCTTCCTACTTATCATTATTTAAGTTTTATAGAGTTAATGTAAATTTTAAAAAATGGCCACTCTATTTAAGAGTTTTACATTTCAAAAGATTCAAATGACTGCTTCAAAACTCAACCTTTTTGTCATGACAACTCCTATTGTTCTTTCAGAATCTTCAGTTTTGATATTGGTCGATACAAAATCGACTATTGAGAAGATTGATTACGAAAAAAATAATGTTATTGTATCTTTCCAGCAAAAAATTAATTTAATTAGAATAAAGAATAAAAAGCTTTTTCGAACAATCTGATTGTTTATTGAACATGATATTTTAGTGCCCTCAATAATAAATCTGTTTTATCTCGCTTTTTCTTTCTCACACATGGAAATGACAGGCATGAACTCATTCAAATATGATACTGATATGTATTAAAGAAAAAATAAACTAATTCGACCTTGATTTTTGGTAAACATAAAATAAAATATACATACTAAAAATAATAGTTTTTATGCTGTTAATCCACACAAGAATTTATCGAACTATTGGTTTTTTACGAATCAATAAATGATGCATGAAAGACGAATCATTAATGATCGTAAAAAAAATATGAAACAGGATTTCTATTTTTGATTAATTAATTTCAAATTCGATTGGCAGAGACATTTCATTCTTTCGTTACTATGCTGTTATTTAGAGATGAGTAACTTTTTCGTATTCAATATGAAATTGACCAGAGATGATTTCACACTACCACTTTATCTATGTTTTATTATCGGAAAATCATAGTTATATATATACATAGAATGACGGATAATACGATATATTGGCACTATCTATGCGAAGTGATAGTGACGAATCCTATCGAGCGCTAATAGTGGATTATACCTAGCTAGAGAATCGAACGAGAAAATGACGTAAACATATCACAGAGAGAACAATGGATATACAAAAAAAGAAAAGAATTTATATCACCACTAACAATTCAAATTTCAAGCTACTATGATTGAAGATCTACTTGAAGAGTAGATGATCCGAGTTGGAGAACAATCTTGGACGAATCCATTCAGAAAAAGGTTAGATCTCGACCTCAAATATCCTACGTCTTGCTATTTTCATACTCAGGAGAGCTAGTGACTAGCGAGAAATGAACTTCATAAAATTACTTAGTTACAATTTTTTATTTAAAAACAATGCTTACAAACATAGAAAAACTTACAGACATTTTGTTTTCTGCGTACGCTTATCAGCACTAAACCGAAACAAATGATTAGAGACTAAGCATTCCTTAATTTAATTGTGTTGCAAATGGATCTATTGAATAAATGTAGCTGTCTCATTACTAATTATATGATAACGAATAACTTTCAACACGTTAATTATCACGTTGGAAATGTTCAATGAAAAGATCGAGAC